ATGATATCATGAATGAATGATATCATATATATGCTGTGTTTACATCTAATGGAAGCAGTCCCATGTGGGTAAGGGCAGATGTGCAGTACCCAGCCAGGAATGGGTAAGATTTGAAGGGTGTGTTACAGGACTCAGAGATACATAGCCCATGCTGGTCTTCATGCTTTTTTGCTCTTGATAATTTGCATTTGTTCTAACTCCCACTGCAGTGAATGTTCAGAGTTTTCAAGTGAAGCACACATTTAAGAATGTTTGTGTTTCTCTTGCATTTTTTCTGCAGTTGGAAATCCTAGTGCCTCTGTTCTTTGGAGGCATTATTTGAATGCTGGATTAGGGATTAACTCTGTTTGAGGTTTTTTCCTACGTTCCAAACTACCAAGACTCATGTCAAAGATGAATAGCTGCATTCTCAGAATCTCCACTCAAAACCTACCGTGCCTGGGAACTATCACAATCTGGTTTTAAGAGCTTAGTGATTCTCTGCTTGGAATTAGTACAAAGAAAATGCCTGCAGCTTTTGTTGCACTGAATCTACTGAAACATTTAGAATGGGGTTGGCTTGCAACCTGTCCAAATTCTCATTTCCTTGCAATAATAGCAGTGATCAGAGGCTGTGCAGATGACTGTGGGGAGAGGGTGGATGTGCTTGTTCAAAGCATTCCAGATACCAGGGCTGAGACTCAAATGGTATAGCTGGGAACAAGTCCAAAGTATTGGTAGCACTTGAACAGCAGAGTTTATGTGAGCAACTGGTGCTTCTGTACCTGCCCAAATGCTCTGTGCCCTTTGGCATTGTCAGCACCTCTCCTTACTGCTGAAAGGAACACACATTGCAGTGGCCCTGCAATTCCACTGCTTCATGTTTTGTAACAACATTCTACATGGACTCTGCCATGTGGCAAACAAACAGTGTTACTGACAGAAGATATCCTGTCATCAAGCAGAGTCCCACTGGACCATAAACAAGGTCAGACAGAACAAACTTACAGTCTCCCACATGGCCCATAGGCTGCCAGGAGAAGTTTGGCACTCGGGGGTGCTGGGGCACAGCTAGGCTGCCTTCCAGGGACCAGCCCTGTGGGTCTGTCTTCCCTCACAGGGGCTCTCAGCTGAGCTAAACTCTCTCTAGGTCCTTTTCCTCGTGACTTCCCATAAGCGTGTCAGATCACAGACCCACAGGAGTTGTTTATGATAGGTGGTCACACACTTCACTGTAAGATGTATTATCCCCTTCTGCTAATTCTCACTGCAGGGTCAGGTGGATTAAGTTAAAGGCTACAACCTTTAGCCTATTAAGAAAATCTAGTTTTCTTTCAGGGCTTAGTTTGGATCCAACTGCCCCATAGGCTGAGAGAAAGCATGAGTGGGAATTGTAGAGGAATAAAAACATCTCCAGATAAATGAGAGGCACCATAAAACACATGTGTTTACCACAGATTAAATACACAGTCCCTAAATGAAAATTTTAGTTATTTATGTCTATCAGAACCCTTCATTTTTTTGTCTACCTTTAGAAACACTAATAGAATGAAGAGGGTTCCCTATCACATATTAAGAGAAAAGAAAACTGCAAAGACAGATGATGCAAAGTAGACCAAGACAGATTCTCTTGGAATTAGGAAAAAAATACTCCATCTCCCTAAACAAACTTTCCAGAATTGTTCCGTTCCTAAAGAATATTATCAAAACTGTGCTGAGAGTAACATCAGTGAGGTATGTTCAGTGCCCAGACACTATAGACCTTCATAGTGTGAACTGTAGGCATTTTTCTGATTTTGGTGTATGTTTGGCACAAGATTTATTAGTTTACTGTCCCCTACACATCCCCTTCTTCCAGAGGGATTTAGGATCCTACCCTCAGTTGGTGCCACAATTCAGGTCAGCCTGCTGGTCTGGAGCATGAAGTTGCTCATCTGGAGGACAACTGTAGAGATGCCCCACAGCTTGGTAGGTAAGTCCCAAACCAGCATTCAGAGGTATCTATTCCATTTTATACTTTTGCTAGTAGCAGCCATTTTTCATAGACCAGTAGGGAAGCTGCCAATGCAGATGCTGTCCTGCCATCTCAAACCCAAAGGCCTGGGAGGTACGTGGGGAAGGAAGTTGCTTTGTGTGTGATTTCCCAAAGCTTTTGCTCTGTCCTAGCAACTATTGGATTTTTCCTAACTTCTTTCCCTTTAGCAACAGGCCAACAACCTGTTTTTCTGCCACCACACTCTGATAAAAATCTTGTGGCTTTAATAATCTCACCATCCTACCTTCTAATCAGTCTTGATGCACAGATTTATCTGGATGGGATCTCATGGGAACTGCTCCTGTCTCCTGCTGGGTTTGTGTGGGCACTGCAGAGAGGCTGCCTCACACCACAGCAAGTTCTCATTGATCTTACTCTGTAAAAGCTGCTCTTTGCACAGAGGTGTGGTCTCTGCCAGTCCCCTGAGTGATGCCATTTTACCTCATGAGGAGCAATAGCTCAACACTTCCACCGAGTTCTTGCCATTTGCAGCAAAGGGACTCACACAAGGCAGCAATCTCCAAGTCCCCCTGAGTCAGAATCACAGCTCCCCATACACCAACCCAATCCTACAAACACCAGTGAGCCCCTGCAAAGCACCCCTGTGTAAGGTGGGCCAAGTTTGGGAGAACAGGTCAGAAGGCCAGAGAGATGTCAGGGATGGGGAACTTGTTTGTTGTTTTGGGGCTTGCACCACCTTTGCAGTGCTCAAAACAGACTGCCAGGATCACTGTAGAAATGAGCAGTGTACATTCAGAAGCCTCATCTTCCTAGGGACGGGGACTCAACTCCACTTGCAAAATATGTATCCAGGGTCAATGTGCAATGGCATGAGAGCAGTGCAGTGGGATAGAAGCTGTCAAAGTCAGCCTCTCCTTGAGGCAGCAGCTGTGCAATGTGCCTCAAGGTTTGCTATAGAGTTTAGCCCCAGTGCTCCACTGCAAGAGTGGGTGATCTACAGACCCACAACAGCAAGAAAGTGTTAAGGTATTTCTTGAAAACAGATTTTATCCAAATAAGCGTGTAAAGAGAGAATGTGAAGAATCACAATTTCCATATGAGAAAAGCTGCACTCATTTAACAGCTTTCAGATATATTTTACTGATATCTCAGTAAGAATGACTAAAGGTGTTTGTTGTTTTTGAGATCTATAGAATGGTAAAAGAGACTGGAGTAATTCCTTAAGTGAAATATTTAAATTACATTGTATATTTTATTGATTATCCACAATTGATCAATTATTCATGAATGACATTTTTTCACAGACAATTCTTTGACAATTTATGCTATGCCTATGTCACTTGTCTTGCCTAATGTTCAGGGATTATTCTCTTTCTTTTTTGTCAATGATTTCTTAAGATGTCCTAGGCAAAGAGTTGGAACATGTGAGAAAGAACAGGTTGATTGAGGATAAACATCAGCCTAGGCAGCAAAGAGTGATGTAAGGAGGAAAGGACTCTGCAGGGACCAGTTCAGGTGAATACTGGAGAAAACATAGTAGAATGATAAGAGTTGTTACCTATTGGGATAAAACTTTTGGTGAGTAATCCAGAACTGAAAGCAGGAAAAAACTCCTTAGCAGAGATAATTAATTTTTAAATATAACAACGTACTTAAGAAAAAGCTATCATCCGTGGAAAATTTGGGATATGCATTAATAAGTTAAATTGTTATGGTGGTTTGATCCTGGTTGAATGACAAATGCCCACTAAAGTAATACCATTACTCCTTTCCTCAACTGGAAAATGCAGAGAAAATAAAATGAAAGGTTCATGAGTCGAGATAAGGATAGGGAGAAATCACAAACTGATTACTGTCACAGGCAAAATAGACTTGGAGAAATTAACTAAATTTATTACCAATTAAAACCAGAGCAGGATAATGAGAAGTAAAACAAATCTTAGAAACACCTTTGTCCCAGCTCAGGGAGACATGCAATAAGGTTCATGGCCAGTTCATCTTGTGGCTCTGCTGCTGCTTCCTCCTCAGGGAGAGGAGTCTTTTCCCTGCTCCAGTGTGTGGTCCCTCACACAGCAGACAGTCCTCCACACACTTCTCCAGCATGAGCCCTTCCCATGGACTACAGCTTTTTATGAACTGCTCCATTGTGGTCCCTTCCACAGGATGCAGCCCTTCATGCACAGCCTGTTCCGGTGTGGTCCCTCCCACAGGATGCAGCCCTTCAGGCCCTGAGTGCGCCTTCAGGCTCTAGAGTGGGCTCCTCTCTCCATGGGTGTGCAGGTCCTGCCAGGAGCCTGCTGCAGTGTGGGCTTCTCATGGGGTCACAGCTTTCTTTTGGACATCCACCTACTCTGAGTGGGCCTCTCCATGGGCTGTAGGTGGATCTCAGCTCTCCCCTGGACCTCCATGGGCTGCATGGTGACAGCCTGCTCACCCTGGGCTGTACCACAGCCTGCAGGTGGATCTTTGCTTTGGCACCTGCAGCACCTCCTCCCCTAGTTCTGCACTGACCTTGGTGTCTGGAGGATGATTTCCGTCATTTATTCTCACTCTGAACTCCTCTGGCCTCAATTACTTCTGCAAAATAACTTTATTCCCTTCTCAAATATGTCACCACAGAGGTGTTACTATCATTCTTGATTGGCTGAGCCTTCAGCAGCAGCAGATCCACCTTGAGCTGACTGGCAGTGGCTCTGTCTGATACAGGGGAAACTTGTGGCAGCTGCTGAGTGAAGTCACCCCTACAGGGCCCCCCACAGGCCTCCCACAGGCCCCCACTACCAAAACCTTACCATGCAAACCCAATACAATTATTCAGCTGGGGAAAATGTTACATTTAAAAAGTGTCAGTTGATGGTGATTTTTTACAATGTTTTTTCCTTATCAATTTTGTTCGAAAATTTCTTATTTACTTCTGAATATCCCTCAATCAGAGACTAGTTAGCAGCACTACCTAGCCCAAAACTGCAAGTGCTGTAGCCATTATAACCCATATCCAGTATCACTGTGCCAAATAACTCAGCTATTACTCCTTAGTAGGATCAGCAATTTTCCCCATGAAAAGTGTGATGCCAGTTTGTTTGTCAGAGATCAAAATAAGGAAGGGCCTGTTGAATTTGATGGTACGAGAAGTAAGCGAAACTCTGGTAAAGATGATGGCAGTGGCTCCTGCAGCTTCAGTTCCAGCCTCATCAACTTCCAGCAAGGCCTTGTGAATTGCCTGCACAGAATAGGAGAAAACACTGTCGTTTATATATGGGACAGGAAGCAGGAGTAAAATAAATTCTCTTCTTATGGAACATTTAGGAGAAGAAAGGAGAAATAATCCAGTAGATTAAATTTTATTGTATGATAAATCTCCAACAGTTTGAAACAGGAGTATTTTATATGCCAGGACTGAGCAAGGAGGGCCAAAAATTAGCATGGACACACTGAAATGCATTCTCAACAGTGCTGAGTAGAGTGGGATAAAAATACCCCATGTACAAGCTAGTTTAATTTCTTAGATGGTTTGGACTTCTACTAGCAACACTTTCTCTTATTTCAAGATTAACTAAAACCTGCTATTTAAATGCTAATATGGGGCAGTATTTGGCATTTTTAGCATTAAATCATAGCTCAAACTGTCACAGTCAAATTCTGCTACTGCAAATTGGAGATTTCCTGAAAACCTTGGGAATATTAAAAATTGAGATATTAATCAACACAAATATCATTATGAATTCCTCATTTGTAGTTTACAAATGACACAACTTCATGTAAACTCTTATATTCCAGTGCAAAGAAGTTATTTAAAACGTTGCCCAATATCTCTATGTATTTAATATCCAGCTTTTTAATAACAGCATTAAGGTAATACAAAAGTGAGCTGGCAGATTCTTTCTGTAAAAAAGCACAATTACTGAGCTAGCCCCTACATGTCATTGTGAGTTTTACTTACAACTTCAGTAATATAAAGAGGGAAATAAAGCCTTTAAAAATTCCAGACACAGCTGATCAAATCAGCCAACCACCATCCCATCACCAGCTCTGTCTACTTACTTGTGAAACCTGGAGATTGTGGTTGCTGCTAATTCCAGACAGATCAGCATTACCTGAGAACACTTCAGTAATGCCCATTTGCTCAAACAGGGTTTTAACATCGTAAGACCCACTAATAGAAAACTTTGGCAACTGCAGATTTAATCTCCTGTTGATCAAAGAAAAGAAAAGAGCAGTGAGCCCTTGCAGCCTCTTTACAGCCAGCTGGGTGTATGCAACTCGGCAACACTTGAAAGCATTCTTTTGATTGCGAATTTGTTTGATGGTAGTCTTTGTATTCCTTGAGCAATTTTGGCTTCCTGAGAGATGCACCATCTTCTTGAATTTACACTGTCTATGTGATTTTGGGAAAATAACCAAATTTGTTCATTGTCTGTCTTTCATCCCAGCGCCACATGAGCAGCTAGTAGAGTTTTTTGGCTAAAGGGTTAGAGAGTAAGCAGACAGTAGTCTGCTGGACAGTGGAAAGCCTAAAGTAAGGGAAAAGGAGGATAAAATCTAGGACATATTCGCTATGGAATAGGAATATGAATCGTGTTAACACCATGAAAGAAAAGGTAAGGAGTCAAAAAGTAGCCAAGCAAGTTTTGAGGCATCTGTTAAAATGCTGTGTCCCCTTCTGTCTTGTCACAGAGCCGGCAGTTTCTTAGTGATTGTGCTCTGCTCTGACTCTTTTGGGGAATTGCTTGAAACATCCCTTTATGAAATCAGGACTTTATATCCAGTGGGAGGTGATCTGAAATTGGCATTTTCCCTTGAAAAGAGTGATGTGTGCTCAAATGTAGCAATCCATATACTAAGAGTTACCTGGTCACAAGTTTGCTGTCCCATTTACAAACCGTTTCCTTGGAGAGAGCATCTTCCACTTGCTTCATCTTTCCATCATCAGGCAGAATAAGCAAGGCTCGTGCAGTGCCCTGGTAAGGAAGCTCTACCACCACACAGGAGAGCTCCTGGTCATAGTAAACGTTTGAGATACCATCATGCTGCATCATGTTGACTCTAACAGATGCATTTGGGTTCACAAAAAAATCATCCTCATGTGTGCGCAAAGGATCGAAAGACGTTTCCCAGGCAGCTAATGGGGGAAAAGAGATGTTGTTGCACTCAAAGATCATGAAGAATGGCTCATTTAAATTAGGCCAGCTTTAATGTAGGACACTGGAGGTATATTGATGGGAGAAGAGGCTCACTAAATCACTTCAACCTCCTCCATAACACCCAATAAAGCATTCTAGTTGTGCAGTAAGCTCATCATATTTTGCGTGCACATGCAATGTCTTGCTGAAGAACAACCAAAGGTTGATGACCAGCTGAGAGTCCTTCTTTGACTGTAAGCCTGTGTAATGCCTTTCATGCCATTTAAAAACAATCAAGCATTCAGTCATAGGCCCTTCTCATGGCTTTTCTGTTAGGCTGTACCCTATGCAAGCTGACTGCACTCTGCGTGGTGTAGAATTCATCAGTAGTTAGAGTCCTAACATTTGAGCAAGGCTCCAGAAGGACAGGCCCTCAAGATATTATGTTCCAGTTTTTCATGCAGAGCACCTAGTAGATCGACCATAAAACTGGGGTCCCTGTGCAAGGATGTCAGTCCACCAAGTCTGACTGGCATGTACATCTTTAGTCATTATGGCCTCAAACAGTGAGACTATGTGCATCCTTGTCTATGAGGCATCCACTAGGGTAGAACTTTTCTGTCCATAGCTTTCAAGCAAATTAAATCAAAACAAAGAAATCAGTATGTCTCAACAATCAGATACTCTGCTTTTGGCCAGATCTAATCTTTACTTGAAAGGTCCTGCACAGTTTAGCTCTTTTCTAAATTGTCACTCTGGTAATAAATCATCATAAGTTCCCTAAAACTGTTTTTTTGTATCAAAACTATCTATTGAAATATATGTTAATCATCTTACCTTTAAAGTAAATATAATTAACAAGAACCAGTACAGTACTTGGATCAAGATGACCAACTAATTCAGGAATTTTCCCCTTAGTTTTCTCTTCTACGTATTTATTGATTTGCTTTGTAGCTTCTTCTGGTTTATGAAAATCACTGGAGAAAACATCTGCATCATAAAATTTTTTGGTATTTTGTAGAAACAACTCCTGTGGTTCATACCCAGTCACTGTGAAAAGGGCATTCCCTATATTTAATGTGATATTAACATCAGCACAGTTCAGTACTGACAAAACTTTGTGAAAACTTTCATGTACATCATTTATGCGAGTTTCAGTCAGGTCATCAAAGCCCAGTCCTTCAAAAATCTGAGAGAGAGTCGTTGATTTAGCACCAACAGCCAGCATGGCAAAGGCAATGGAGATGCTCATAGGAGAAAAGAACACATTTTTATCAGCTTCTTTTGATGAAACCTGCTTGTAAAATCTAAATACAAAATCTGCATGGTTAGAGCCTTTCTTGTCACAGCTATATGTTAATAAATTTTCTCTTCCATCTTGCAGATTAGTATTGTTGACTTCATGGCAAATATCTTCAGGGCAGCAATGGGTTACAGCACAAAGAGCAGCAAGGAGTAAACACAGGCACTGGAGAAACTTCATCTTCTTTTCAAATTGTTCTGTCACAAAATAAACAGTCATTAAACAGTCAGATGCTAATGATGTGCTTGGTAGTAAGAAATAATCAATAGTTTGTTAGCACAAATGTTGCATAGTTCAACTGTAAATATCTATGTACATAGCAAGCTTAAAGTTCTCATGGGCACAATGTCAAATTTATGTAACAAATTCTAATAGATTATAGACTAAAATGTCAGGCATAAGAAATTCATAATACTCCATTGTAACTGCTCTGAAAAAGCAGTACTTTTTTCCATTGGCAATGAAAATATAAAGCTACGGTCTGTAATAATATTTGTGCACAATGACATTATCTTCCCAAAACACTGGCTCCTATAGGGTACATCTAGACATGCAAGTTATTACAAGGTAAGGCAGGGTGTGGGTTTCAAAGACATCAAATGTTCCACAGCATCTGTCCAAAAGCAATTTGATATATGTAAGGAAGTGTGAGGCAGCTCACTACTCACTGGGACTGAGGAAATTCCCTCACTTTCCTCATGGACAGAGAGCTATCATGGACTATCCTGGGCTTGTTAAATCACACCCCTGTTTACTTCATGGCTACTTGCTCACATGGCCAGTTACTGGCCAAAAGTGATAAACGATGGAAGAATGTGAACTACATGAACTCCAAAGCAAAAGCCTGGAGCATCCTGTGCCATGACAGCAGTGCACAGAGAGGTGGGCACAATGACATGAGCAAGCAGCAGGTTTGTGTCAGATAATGAGGTGCATGTTTGGAATGAGGGAATCTTCCTTTTGGGGGAGCTGTGACGAGTGTTTGTGACTTCTTACATGGTGGTGTGCCCCTCACCATGGGTTAACCTGCATGGCATGTGGGAAGGACCTGGGTCAAAGAGGGAGAGAAGCACTCGTCCCATTTGGACACCAAAGGACACAGATTAATTCCCTTGGAGATCACAAGTTTTTTCATTATTCTTGTTCTCCTAAAGCTGACATGATATACTTCACATGAGCCACCTGCTCTCCACATGAGCTGGAACAAATCTCTGGTTTACTGAATTCAGTTCCCTGCAGTTCTGGGGAGGCATCTCATATAAACTGTCTTCAGAACTGTAACAAGCTATCAATGAAATAAGCTTTTTGTCCTCACATATTCAGCATGAAAACATTTCTAGAACTTTTCTAGTGTCATGGGTTGTCTTCTGGTTTCCAGCAAATATAGCCTATTTATATATTTTTTCTTTCAGGAATGTATTTTCCCATGTCTGTGGTAAAGTTCTCTTGGTTCTACATTCATTCCTAGATGTGAAAGATGACTGTATATACTATCTAAAGATTTAGAGTTTCTGATGGCAGCCCAAGTTCAAGGATTCTTGTTGGTTAACCAGTTGTTTTATTTTTGTATTGATAGTCTTCCTTTTTTTTTCATAGCAAACATAAAGATAGCTGTGTGTTCTCATATTTGCTAGGATCTGAGTGTACTGAGTTTGCCCAAGATCAGCCAGGGCCCACTGCAGTGACCCGCAGTAACAAGTGGTAACATTGAATTTGAATTTCCTTAAAACAAAAGATGGAGTATGGCCTAGATGGGAATGTGATAAAACTATTTGCAGATAACTTTTAAACAGAACTCTGCCTCTTTTTCATAGTAAAAAAAAAAAAAAAAGGCAAAACCCAAACAACTCCTATGTCCTGTGGAAAAAAGAAGAAATAATATAGTAGGAAATGTGTTTCAAATGTATTTAATGTTAAACATGTCATAGTCTGTTTTTCTCTAGTTATTTGAGATATTGGACACTTAAGTGAGAAAGAAAAAAATAATTTTACTTCCTGCGTCCATATTGAGCTTAGCCTAAATTTTAAAGAATTTCTGAAGCAAAGAGTATGGTTCGGGTTTTTTTTTTCTGCAGCAAACTTATATTAGGCATGCTTTTAACTTCTGCTGTAACAGATCAGTTAAAAACTTCTCCTGGTATCATAACTTTCTACAGAAAGCTAGAAGAAGTATTTCTATCAAAAGCTTGAAAGCACTGAATATTTTCATCAAGTTTTCCTCACATACTTTTCCTTTCAGAAATGAAAAACATGTTAATTTCAACATTTTAGATTAAAAAATTTCTGACACCAATATTTTTGTTGACATTTCAGAGCTGAAGAAATTGTCGAGGCTTTGTTAAATCCGGAAATACTTTTAATGCAAATTAGAAAAGAATTCTCTTCCAGACCACATATTAGTTTGTCTATGGGAGGAAAAGGGGCAATTAAATTTAAATTGTGGCCTTCCACCTACCCCCTACAATCACCCCAGCCTTAATTAGAGAGCCTGGCCTTAGCAATTCAATTGTTGCTTTATAAATTAAGTCACCAGAAGAGTTTTTAAATTGGACTTGGTTGTTCAGTCACTAGTGGGATTATACTAATTTTGAGTCACTGTGAAGGCTGTTTCCAACCTGAAAGGTGATTACATCAGTATTCTCTTTTAACAAGTACTTAATAAGTCACCATGACTTCAAAGGGTTTTTTTAGTTTGATTTCAGTCTAAGCATATTTCCCCAGAACAGCAGGTCCCACTGGTCCCTTGCACATCTGCTTGGTTAATATTTCATTGCAACATCCACACAGAACCAAATCACAAACAGAGAAATGAAATTAACCTAATATTAAAATTCCACTGACTACAGAAAGCATCATCTCCAACTCTCTAAAAACAAAAATGTGTGTGTAGTACTTACAAAATCAGAAGCCCCGTTGCATTCAGCTGACCATGCTGTTCCCCACACTGTTACTTATACTGCTTCATCATCTTCTGCTTAATTAGAGATGTTAAACATTACACAGACCCGATAAAAATTAGAGCCAACCAAAATAAAGGAGGAAAAAAAGCAAATATTGATGGAACAGGGTTCGCAAGGACCATCTCTGTTGTTCAGCCAAAGAACTTGACAATCTTCAGCCATTTCAATAGCAGCTGTGACATCCTCTCTGCTGCCTCTGACCATGTGGAGGAGCTTAAGTGCAAATGTGTGATCAGGACCCTACTGGAAAGCAGGAGGTTGTGCCTGGAATCACTAGAAACAGGCTAACTCTTGGTGCCAGAAGTCAGACCTTCTGTGTTGCGATGAAGCACACATGGAGCTGACAGCCACGTATCACATCAGGTTGGTGCTCTTCCAAAATCTACCCTGAGACAAATCTCCTGCATGATCCTCAGCTTGTATATGGATGACAAAGTAATTTCCTGTACCTTCTCACTCTGTAGCTTAATACCACTGAGGGGGTATGTGATAGACAGGTTTCCATGATAGATGTCCCACCCCGGCTGATGTGGTCCCTTCATCTTTCTCAGTTCTGGGTGCATCTCAGTTCCTGCCTTGGGCAGGAGTACAGGTGGTGGGAATACAAGGATCAGGCTGCTTACTCCCACATGTTGGAGTACTGCGTGTGCTCACCCACTTCTCATTCTCCTTACCCTCTCACACAGTTTTAAATTGTTCAAATGAAAACAAGTGTTGTTTGTTTCTATTACCTTTTCCCAACAGGACTGAAATGCTGATAGATTAGGATGACTGAATTTTTCCAGCTAACAATAAAGACCATGAGTGAGTGGTGACATAAAATACATTTCCCCATTTGTGATGACTCTTTTCTTTGTACTTGTTTACTCACGTGTAATTTTGTTGTTACAAACATAGATAAACATGGAGACAGAACATAGATAATCACTGTCTGGACACTCCCCTTCTTTGTTTTCCTCTATATTTCTTCCACTCTCCCCCTCCCCCTTCCCTTTTTACTTGCTCCTTCTAACTCTGGCTGTAAAGATCACAAACACAGAGATTATTTTAGTCATCAAAGCCCAAGTGAATAACAGGTCATGGTGGTCAAGGACGAACTGTGTTACAAAATGGTTATAAGCCTCTTGTTTTCTCTTTCATTTGTGATGCCTCGTAATTACTGTTTTGTTTTTAATAATGTTAAGCTAAACTTTAACAAGGCATTTCCTTACCATTTCATTATAGCAGAAGAAATAAGATACTACAGCAGCTTGAAACTAAAACGATGAGCAGACAGAGGCAGGCATGCCAGGTGTAGCACACACTGCCCTGAGCCATCACAGTCCCACCTCCCTGCTGACCACAGTTTCAACTCCAAGTCATGAAACCATGTTAACCAGCTTCATACTGATCATTTATCTAATGAACTGGATCTTTTGCTCTACTATTTATTTTTTATAGGAATAAAAGTACAGAACATGGAAATAACAAAATAAATGTGTTTTATTCCTTCTGATAATTAAAACCACATCAGTGTCTGCATTGCTTGAGTCCATGTTACTGCTCTATAGTTCATGTAGGTCAGTTTCTACACCACACCCCAGCTCACATTTTGACGTCTTTAGGAGAAATAGAGCCATATATTCATTTCATGCATTTGCTAATACCTTGAAACCTTGAAACATCTTCAAGACAGTTTGTTTTGTTTTGAACAGAACATTCCAAATCAGGTTTAAAGAGTTCTTAATTAACCATTGTTGCGGTGTGATGTCGTAGCTGGTATATTCAATGACAAGAGAACCATCCAACTTGTCCAGTGTTCTTGTTTTGCTTCTATACCTCAGGTAAGGAAAATAGAGTTTTGTGTCAATTTAGCAACAATAAAACTCTTCTGGGATTATGGCTCACAAATACACAAGTCACTTCAAATATCAAAAAATTTTATATCTCTAAATCTGTTATGTTGTAACTTAAACAAAGACTTTTAGTGTAAAAAATACAGACCACAAGCACAAGCATGTAGAAATAATGGAAAATCAGTCTTCTTTTGAAAGAAGACTGACAAAGCAGCAATATGAAGGAAATGGAGTATGGAATTAGGAAGGAACTGGACACTACCTTCCCCTCCATTTCCTTGCTGATTGCCTTGAATTATGTTATAGTCTATGGGAAGGAATGGGCACCCAGAGCGCAGGAAAATTGCTAAGATTGGAGGTGTATGCATGTCTGGTGAACTATGTT